AAATTAAAAGGAATGAAGTTATTATAGTTAATATATGCAAATCGTTATCAAATCGTATATTTTCCTTTTCTTCCATTACATGTGTGCGATATATATAAATATATAAACTATGTTACATGCGTTATATGCGTCTCTAATTATTTTTCCCTAGCAAATTTCAATTGAACCTAAAGCCGCCACGTCAGTTTAATTGATATGCAAATTTATTGACAACTAAGCAAGGTTACTTTTTAATTAATACAAACTTGAGGTTACATCTTTTCAAATGTTTCTCAATTAATATATAGGGGATTCATGTTTAAGGTTTAACTATATAAAATATAAACATAAATTTAATTTAACGTGTGAGTTTAGAGGCGAAAAATAACTTCATAAATATATATCATTATATTATATTATTATATTATTTTAGTTTGAAAATAATTACGTATTCTACTTTTTCAATTTCTCTTTTGAATTATATACAATTAAAAATTTTACTTTATGAATATTTATTTATGTGTTTTCTGTTTTTGATTTTTTTAGCAAAAATATATTTTCCGGATAACAACACAATATATATAAGAATTATCTTTTTATTTTATTTTTAAATATATATTTAGATTATGGATAATTCTTATCATTATTATTAATTTAAATCATTTATCTAATCAAATAAGTATTAAATTCGTTTTTATTTTTATCTGATTTAAATATTTTATTCATTAAGGGTATAAACGATATTAACTACTCTAACTTTTAACGTGAGAGCTCCGTTGCGAAAAATCACTTCGCAAATAATAGTATAGATTCAATTATTTTCCTATTAATTTTCTATAATTGATTGTAAAAATCGTATTTTTACTTTAGACAACTTAGTATACTTAAGGGGAAAAAAGAGACCATAATTGTTTATTATTTGTACTAGGTGATTTTCCCGTGCTCATGCACGGACATGTATATTTATAAAATAAATATACAATAATAACTTATTGATATTTACTTTCATTTTGAAATTAATTTATAGTTTGTATGTCTAATTTATATTATAATATTATATTATTTTAATTATATATATAATTTTAGATATGTTATATTTAGTCTGTTTTATTATTTTACGGTCGATTTAGTTATCATTTAGATATATTGGATTCTATCTATTTCTCTGAATTCAACTATTATCTTTTATATTTTGAAAATATTAAATTTTTGATTAATTGTCTTATTTGCATATGTTGGTTGTTATCTTAGAAATATAAGTATATTTAGTAAGATTATATATAACTTAAGATTTTTTTGTGCTTAGAAGGAAAAAAAAATAAAAACTAAAGTTTCTGATTCTAAATTACATACATAAGTAACTAATGAATTTCTAGAAGATTTTTGAACACATATCAATATTTACAATAGTTAACATATTTTATAAATTCTAAATAAATTTATGCTTTAGATTGTTTGGATGGTAAACNAGGAAAAAAAAATAAAAACTAAAGTTTCTGATTCTAAATTACATACATAAGTAACTAATGAATTTCTAGAAGATTTTTGAACACATATCAATATTTACAATAGTTAACATATTTTATAAATTCTAAATAAATTTATGCTTTAGATTGTTTGGATGGTAAACTGAAATTTATTTTAAATAATTTTAAAAATAAGGATTCTAATTTGCTTAAGTATTTGACTATGGTTATATTAAGTTTCACAAACATAAACACAAAAAATTAAAAATCAAAAGATTATTAAGAAAACAGATAAATTTAACATTAAAATATAATACATCTACCTCGTTAAATTATATAGTGTTATGGTATTTTAAAATAATTGTAGTTATTTTTTGTTTTTATGTTTGTGAAACTTAATATAACCATAATCAAAATACTAAGTAAATCAGAATCCTTATTCTTAGAACAGATAATTTTAACTATTAAAATATAATATATCTACCTCATTAAATTATATAGTGTTATGATATTTTAAAATAATTGTAGTTACTTGATCAAAAGATGTTTATCATTAAATTTATTTTTAGTTTTACTTTTAGTATCTCTTAAAATAGTCAGTAAAAAGTGATTGTTATACTATATAAGTAAAATAGAATTTCTATTTTTACTGTAATTGTAAGATATTATAGTCAAATAAATATACTAAAAAATTATTTCAGGAATACTAATTATAAAAAAATGTCAGTTAAACATATATCAGTTTATGTTAGTTGATTATTTTATGTAATCATAATTATTTTGAAAATATATATATTTATTGTTTAAAATTATTTTTAAGAAAAATATATTTCTTTTTCTAATAGCAATATTTTTGTGTGAATTTTTTATATGAAATCTCATTATATACAGATACTTTTTTTATTCTAAGAAGATATAGATATAAAGGATTTTATTACTTCAAAGGTATATTTTATGTTATTTAAAATATATTTAAATTAATTATTACTATTTTGTGAACTTTCTTTTTTTTATTAAACCATATTATAATTTCGTTTTTAAATAGTTTTGTAAATTTTATAAATGTTTCCTTTTTATTTTATATTGTTATTTGGAAATTTTTAAAAAGGAAATAATATTTAATTGTATTTTTAATTCATTAGGGATATCATAGTAATCAACCAGCGTGAGAATTAACGTGAACGCGACACCAAAGAAAGTGACTTCTCAAATAATATTATAGAGATTTCATCTATAATCAGATAGAATACAGATAATGTTATTCATCAATCGACCTCTCTCCATTTTTTGTTTTTGTTAACTCGTTTTTATGTATTTTCATGGGAAACAAAATAAATGGCAAACGGTTGCTATGTAATAATCGTGTTTGCTATGCTATGTTATGCGGTTAACCCCAGCCATTTGATATCACTTTCCAGATCGAGTGGCCGAAAATTTGATTTTGTTTTTACTTAACAGAAATCCACGTGCGTCAAAAACCCTAATCCCAAACTCTGTCAAATTTTTGAAACAAACCCCCCAACTCTCCGTCGCTCTCAAAAATGTCAAAAACCCTAATCCCCCACGGAAGATCCCTCCTCCGTCGTCTCAACGAGCTGACGTTGAGGACAACGACGGCGCCAAACCTCGAATGTTTCAACCGCCGTGCCTATGCATCAAAACCGCACCACACCGAAATCGACCTCGATCCGACCTCTAAAGCTGAAGCCGAACGCAAGAGCCTGAACGAGTATTTTCAGAAGATCGCCGTTAAGAAGTCGACTCCTGATTGGCTCCCTTTCGCACCAGGCTCCTCTTTCTGGGTCCCCCCGCATCAGAAAACAGCCGCGAAGGTGGCTTATATGATGAACATGGTGACGAATCCGTTGACGAAGGAGGAAGCTTTCTCTCTGTCGTCTTCTTCTGGCTGGCCCTGTTCCTCTTTCTTCATTCCTCCAAGTATATGAATTGCTTTCCTTTTGTGGTTAATTTTTCTAAGATAGATAATGGGTCCCTCTTCTCTTTTTTTTTTTTTGGTTTTGCGTCTTAAAGAAGGTTACTTTGAGCTTCATTGGTGTAACGTGTAGATTGCGAAGTGGACTTGTGTTTTGTCTTTTGTCTTTTTAGAATTCTTGTCTGGATGAAACATAATAATGTAATGGAGATGATAGCTCCATGTCTTTGTAAGATTCCATAAATTGCTTTCCTTTGGGGTTAATCGTCTAAAGCTCGATAATGGGTCTCACTTGTTTTTTGGTTTTGCCTGTTAAAGATGGTTCCTTAACGTTAGTTATTTGAGGTGATTGCTCTATGTCTCTGTAGGACCTGGCAAAGTTAGGGGGAGGAGATAGTAACGTGTAGATTGCGAAGTGGACTTGTATTTTGTCTTTTTAGAATTCTTGTCTAAATGAAACATAATAATGCAATGTAGCTGATTTTGTTTATGTTCTCTATCTCGTTTTCTAAATGTGATGGCTGTTTCTTGATATTACCTTGTTTTCCTTTGCTATTGAAATGATTGATAGATGATGAGAAGGTAGAAGGTAGCATGGAGTTGAACATTCCGGGGGAGCTAGCTCATATTCTAAATCCCATTTATTCATTTAAACATGTCGACGATGAAGAGTGATTTTACAAGTTCTAGCTCGGTGATCAAGTCCATTTCCTGATGCGTGGAAAGACAGATGATTCCCCGAGACTGATGAGGTTAAGTATTTGTAAATACAGTAGCAAACCATGGAGTTCTATGGTGGGTGTTTGGCCTGTCTTTGTGAACTTTATTTATAAAGCAATGAATCTTCATTAACTGCTAATAAAAGCTGGTCGGATTGGTACTTACCTGCACTACATGGTTTCATCGTGAATGATTATTCTGATCAAACTCAGATGAGTTTGCATATGTTACAAGATTGATTCATAAGAATCTGTCACTACAATAAACAGGACAATACATCTTTACCTTTGTTGACCCCCTGTTTGACTGTTTCTCTACTTGTGGTCTTTATTTGTCTCATGTGATAATGGAATCCACATAATTATTATACCACCATATGGATGCCTAAACTTTTATTATTGACAAGCTCATTAGCCTATGAATTAGGGAGTGAGATCTCATGTACATATTTGTGTGATCAAAGTAACCTTCTTTCTACCGAGCTATTTCATTTTACATCTTCTTTTTTAATAAAGCTCTTTAAAGCAAACTCTATCCTTGTTTTATTGTTGCTTTCAGTAATGATTAATAAAGCAGTTTTCAAGAATCAACGTTTGTCGAGCTTAAGACTGTTTTAATGTTTGCCTTGTTGATAAAACCAGTATGATTATCTGCATTCATCGAGGTGATTATCTAAGGCAGATAATGGGTCTCACTTTTGTGTTTTTGGTTTTGCATGTTAAAGATGTTCTTCTGCCTAGTTATTTTTTCCGCCATCGGAGCTAATAGCTGCATGTCTCTGTAAGACCTGAAAAACTAGATTACGGAGATAATGCGTAGTGGCGTAGATTACGGAGTGCACTTATGTTTTGTCGTATAGTATTCTTTTCTAAATGAAACGTATCACCAATCTTCTTTTTCTCGGCGGCTTTATTCTTCACTTACGCATGTTGTCTTTATAATCGAAGTGGAGGAACAAAAAGATGTATTCAGAAGAACATTCAAGAGGAAGAGAGTAAAAGCTGCAAGTTAAAAGAAATGGGGGCTGAGTTGGAACGCAAAATCTTTGAACTGAAGAGACAAAGATGCAATTGCGAAAGAACCAGAAGAAAAAGATTGTTGAGATGAAGTCGCATGCGACAATGTTTTGTCTATGCTCTCTGTCTCGTTTTCTAAAAATATGTTTATGTTATAGCTGTTTAATGATATCTGTGGTGATACATTGTTTTCCCTTGTTATTGAAATGATTTTTTCTCCTCTACACAAGAGGTAGAAGGTAGCATGGAGTTGAATATTCCAGGGAAATAGAATTAGGTTCATGGCGAATGATAGTTTAGATTAACCTCAGAAGAGTTTGCGTGTTAACAGATCGATTTCATAAGAATTTGTCACTAGAATAGACAGTACCAAGCACTGCATTGCATGTGTGCTTCTTTAATTTAGCGACTACTCAAACGTTTCAAGAATATGATCTTAACCTTTGTTGACCTCTGTTTATGTATCTACTCTCTTAATTTTCTGTTTCTGTACTTTCTGTTGTTTATTTATGATCTAGTAAAGAGCAGTTTAGTTTTGAAACTCAGACAAACCATAATGCACCACCATAGAAATAATTGGAGATAGTTTATCAAAGCGTTTGACATGGCCATGCCTCGATTCCAACTACTTGAATGTTAACAAAACAAAACATTTGAATTTTGGTATTGAATGTTGATTAAATATTAAACCAACATGATCATCCTTACGTATTTCTTATCATGCTTATTATCTTTTGTTGGTCATGAAGAAGCAATGCTTACCTTTATGGCATTGTAAACTCGTAATTAAAGAACTAAAACTCGTCCATAAATAATTGATTGAGTTATTCGTACGGGCCATACGTTTACGATGTTGTACGTTTAATTACCACTACAAGAAAACTCGTCCATTACTATGACGAGTTTTCCTCGTTATTTCCTAGTAAATGACTATTTACTAGGACCTTATAAGGAAACACGGTCACTACAAGAAAACTAAACATTTACTAGGAAATTTTACTAAGAAAATTGTTCCTCATAAAATTACTAAACCTTTATTTCGGGTTTACGAGGAAATCAAATTTCCTCGTAAGATCCTCGTAATATTACGAGAAAACGTTTTCCTCGTAAGACCTTAGTAATTTTACGAGGAGCTTACGAGGAAAACGTACAGTTCCTCGTAAAGCCATAGTATTACGTTTCCTCGTAAAATCATAGTAAAGGTTTACTACGAAAGTAGGAGGAAACCGTTTTATTACTACGAAATTAGGAGGAACAGGATAGAAAATATCGAATTTAAATAAAAAACGTGTTTTGTACCTACTTTTCCTAGCAATTTCCTAGTAAGTGCTCTGATTCGAAAATTTCTATAAATACCATCTTATGTGATTCATTTGAAACACACCAAAAAAAAATCAGCTATAAGCTTGATCAAACACAAAAAAATGTCCGGTCCGAGAAATATTTTCGAGTTGCGGCAGTGGATGTATTCACACAAAGATAATAACGGGAGGGTGACGAAAGAATTTCCGGAAGGGTTGGAGACGTTTATGCATCAAACAGATTCTACACCACTCATGCAGGAAAGTGGTAAGATGTTCTGTCCTTGTCGAAAATGCTGCAATACCAAATTAGGCCCTCGTGAAAATGTTTGGAAGCATTTAATAAATAGAGGTTTCATGCCATATTATTATATTTGGTATCAACATGGAGAAGATGCTAGTTGTAGGAATGAAGGTAGCAGTAGTAATCAGGTTGAACCGGTTGATCATTTGCGTAATGAAGGTAGCAGTAGTTATAGCTATCATCACC